CCGATGCGGGACTCGATCCCGGGACTCCAGGATCATGACCTGAGCCGAAGGCAGTCGCTTAACCAACTGAGCCACCCAGGCGCCCCCCATTATTTCTTAGACTACGTTTTCTGGCCCTTCCTCTGTCCTCTCTTTCCAGTACTCCCATTACACGGATGTTGGTGCACTTTGGTGTCTCCTGTTTCTCTGAGGCTCTGTCCATTTATCTTCATTCTTCTTTTCTCTGTTTTTCAGACTGAATAATCTTTATTGATCTGTCATCAAGTTTGCTGATTCTTCTGCTGGCTCAAATCTACTACCAAATCACTTTGATGAATTCTTCATTTCAATTATACTTTTTAACTCCAGAATTTCCATTTGGTTCTTTTATACAGTATCTATCTCTTCATTGATATTCTCCATTTGATTAGACATTATCATTACACTTTCCTTTAATTCATTAAGCATGGTTTCCATTACCTCTGTACATATTTATAACAGGTATTTTGGTCATAGCTAAATCTACCATCTGAGCCCATTCAAAAGCTGTTTCTATTGGCTGCTTTTTACCTGTGTATGGGTCATACTTCCCTGATTCTTTGCATATCTCTCTTTTTATTTTTGAAAACTGGACATTCTAGGTGACATATTATAGAACGCTGGCTACCACCAGAATTATTCTTTGTTTGCTTAGTTGGTTGGTTGTTTAATGATGTGGATGAATTAGTTTTGCAAGGCCTGCTTCCCCTCCAATGTCCAGCCTCTGATGTTCCCACTCAGACGTTCCCCCTTGTGTTTATCTGCTGGCCTGGTTACCCCAGCGGCACCCCTGGATCCATACAAGCAACTGATTGGTTGAACATTGTGCTTGAACCTGCTTGTCCAGTCAGATTTTTACCCTTTCCCATTGCATATGTGTATAGCTTGGAGGCTGCTACCACAGTGTGGAGAATTCACATTTTCCCCTTACATTCAGCCAGGGACTACTAGTTTCGATTTTTCCTCTCTGGTCACTCCTGAGAGGGTACAGACTTGGGCACCACACAGTTCTAGATAACCAGCGATGACTAAGGTATCCTTTTTAAGCCTGGTTCCTTAGGAGTTACCCTGTGTCAGAGCAGCTTGTTTGGTCAATGTTTGATTAGAGGTTGTGCTTAAATCCCTTCTGCCAGCGTGGCTACGACCCTAAGGTAATGGATTTGTGCACAGCATGGGGATGTTTCTGAGTCTTCCCCCCCCCCCCCCCATCTGATTGGACTCCTCCTGAAGAGGTGAGATCTAGCACGCGCACACAACCTTCCCAACCTGCAGACTTATCTGTGACATCAGAAGGGCTCTTCTTGGCTGAACTTCCTCTGATTCTCTCTACTAAACTTCCCACTGCTCTGCCATCATGCTTATACTAGAGCTACCAGCCTCCTCGTAATTGCTCCACACCAGGATCTACAATGTTTTCTGCAACACCCTCCGGCCCCTTCTGTTAAAATAATTCCCTCAGACAGAGCTTCCAAACTCTTTATCATTATGACCTCCCTGTCCTCCAGGCTGTGCAGAGCTCCTGGACCACCAGACTTGAAGATGAGGACCCATTTTTCCTGGCATAACACCCCTGCTCTATGAGCAGGCAGCGGGCATAGGAGTGGTAGCTCCTGGTCATCTCAGTTTGCCTCTCCTAGCTTGGGACCTCCACTCTATGAGCTAAATGGGGTGCAGGTGATCGGGTTCTAGTATTTTCAGCCTGCAGGGCTTGGTGTAGAGTCTCCACCATACAGGTGGGGCTGGGTGGAGAAAGAGAAGACATGGTCCTCTCTGCTGAGCCTGCCTGGAATAGAGCTTCTATAACACAAGCCAGGGGGCAATGAGAAATGCCGGCAGCCTGCCCCTCCTCGGGTGAAACTGTAGCCCCAGAACAGGAATTTAGAAGAAAGTGAACCCCCATCTCCTTGGCTGTCCATGCCCAGGGTAGAGCTTCTACAACACACAGTTGGGGTGGAGGGGTAACGGAGCTCAAATGTCAGACTTGATCTTACCGATATTTAGATTTTTTTAAGTAAATATTCCTTCATTTGCTCTTAGGACAATTTCCAGAGATTTTAAATGATTATTAAAAATTCTTTACCAGCTAAAGTTTTGTTTTGTTGGAGAGAGAGTCCCACTGAGCTCCCTACTCTGCCATTCTGGAAGTCCCACCTTCCTCTGCTCTGTCATGAATACACCTTTGTATTTTCTACCTGTCTTAAAATGAATTAGTTCTAGTAGTGAAGAAATGTGGAAAAAAGAGCATTCTTAAAATTAATGTATTACTCTTCACCTTTATATCCATAGACACAAAGGCACAATCTGACAGCCTTGCTCAAGGGAATGACTAGGTTGGAATATTTGTAATTCATTCTAGCAGAATGAGGCTGGAGTTGGGGCTGATAAGGAGGAGGAAAAAAGAAAACCTTTGGGATACTTTCAATCACAAGCATGGCAGCTGAAGCAGAACTAACCTGAATGTCAGCAGATTATTAGAAAATTAACATGAGACATTCTGTCCACGCCTTGCCCCCAAACAGCTTACGTCTACAATATAATTGGGGGAGTGTCGACAAAACAAAGAGCAACTAGAAAATGCTTGCCTGTTACAGGAGGGGAGTGAGATAAACTACCTGGCTGCCCCAACCCTTCTCCTGCTTTTGGTGAAAAGACCTCATTTTCACTGCTCATCGTCTTGCCTTCTCCCACCATGAGCTCCTCTGGGCTTGGCCCTCATGGACAGCTGAAATGGAGGGTCTCCACTCCCTCTCCCTCCCACTGGTTCCCCACGTGGGGTTTCTAGCTTAAAACAGAAATGTAATCATCCCCAACTTGTGCATGGAACGTCATGATTTAGGATATCTTTCCACAGAAATAATACCAGGAGCAAGGACGAGGTTACCCTGCAAGACTGTGGAGCCAGTTGAACAGAATTTGCCTCTAGTAGGATTCACACAATTTGAACATGAGCATCACCCATACTGATATTTCCGTGGGAAATGTATTGGGCATTCCAACCACTAATACTGAATTTCTCTGGTTGAGGGTGAGCTTCTGTGGCTCCCAGTGGCAAAGGCTGAGACAGCTGGAGCAGAGGATAGAGGTCTGTGAACAGAGTGCGACAGGGGACCAAGAGGAGAAGGAAGCCATTTCCTTTTCCATACAAGTGAGTGCTTCCCAGGCACTAAGAGCTTCACAGTCAGTGTGTCTGTAATCTGCACGATTACAAGGCAATTGAGAAACAGAGGGGCTAAGCAACTTGCCCCAAGGGACACCCAGTACGAACCCGGTGCTTCACCACTTTAGCCTCCAGCTCTGGGAGTGGGGAAGGTCGGCCCTGCCTGCATCTGCCTCCCTGGTTTTCTAGCGACTGACGTGGCAGATGAGATTGCTCAATACTGACTGTAGCCTCCAACTGTGCTCAGGGGCTGGCAAGCTCCAAACAGCACTTTCCAGATTCTCCTGGAGCTGGGTTCTGGATGTCTGGATGCCAACTTGGTTTTGCAAATAATTAGTATTCGAATAAGATTAGAAAGGTGGAAGTGAAGAGAAGGCTGCCTTACGCACTTACTGAGCATTTCCGCAGCTGAGCCCCATCTAGCTGCCCCGGGACCAAGCGATGGCTGTGGAGGCAGCAGGACTGCAGTCCTTCTGTCCTGGAGCTGTGCTACCACAATCCCGGCTTAACGCTCAGCCTTTCTATTGGGAGCCTCCTTGGAAGCCCCGCCTGGAGCCTGCCCTCCAGCCCTTAACGACTGAGCTGAGCACCTAAGGACCGAGAGTAAGTCCCTGTCTGTTTATAACACCTGGAGGGGTATTCAGTTCCTGCCTTGAGCCCCGACCGGTAATCCTCTCTTCTTCTCTTCCCTCCCTTTCCCTGCTGGGGGAAGAACAATGGCAGGCAGTGGATCGGGAGGCAGAGGAACACTTGGACAAGTTCATTCATTCATTCGTTCATTCACCCAACACTCACTACATTCCTCTTTTGCTCTAGGGACTGGGTCAGACACCTCCTCTTCCCACCCTCCATCTCCTTTGGTGACTCTTACCAGGACACAGAACAAGTAGTGGGGAGAAGTTAGTGGTTTCATGCTTGCTGGTCCCTCTCCCTGGAATCCCGCCTCCTCTCTTCATCTGCCCGGCAGGCTCCTAAACACTGTTCAGCTACCACGTCCTTTCCAGAGTCAGGATTCCCACCCGGGGAAGCTCCAGAGCCCATGTGCTTACCACCGGGGAGGAGAAGGGGTAGGGTGGGAAAGACAAAAGAAGGGAGGTGACATGGCCCAGGTAGGGGGACAGTCACCTATAACACGCATATATAAGCCAGGGGCTCACTGGCTAACCTTCAGGCCACACAGCTGTGCCAGCAAGTGCCTCCACATTTCCTCAAGAGGAAACTGACCTCGAGGGACGGACGATCACTGTGCTGTGTGCTGCCCCCTTACCTTGGCAAATAGGGAATGAGTAGAAACCCAAGCGGCAGGCATCACACCGCGGGCCCTCGACCCCAGGGCGGCAAAGGCACCTTCCGTAGGCATCACATATTTGGGGGAGAACGCCTTCCAAGTCACAGTCACACCCTGCAAGGAGAAAGGACTCACAGAAGGGGGCCTCCAGTCTCCTTCCTTTCTCAGTTCCTGCCTTCCCTCGGGTGTCCGTCATGGAAACATAGATATAAGGAGTCATCTGTGGCTTCTAGACATCCTTGACCGAGAACACTACACGTTAAAGGGAAATAAACAAACTTGAAGGAAAGGTCTGGGATGCCATTAAGAAACATCTAGGGTGGGCACTCGTTTGCAAAGCAGCTACAATCTTTCAACATCTACCCCTGGGGAAATACTTTGCTTTTTTTTCCAAATCAGAGCCTTATGCAGTAAAACTTCAATTTAATAGATTCCTATCTCACGACCATTAACATATTTTACCAAATTAACATATTTCTACCTTCCACCATTTTTTAGAAGAAAAGAAACTAACATAAATTCAGCCCTACTATGTGCCAGCCATGGCTTTCAGGGGGCTACGCTTGGGTTGTCTTGCTTAACCCTCCAGGCACAAGGCCTTCCCTGTAGCCAGGCTGCTTCCTATCCCTCCAACCACCACTTCCCTGCCTCAGTACCTTTGCTCTGGCTGTTCCCTCTGCCTGTAATGACCTCTCCTGGTTCTTTCTCGTCCCTTAGGTCTTAGTTCAGAGTCAACTCCTAGGAATACCTTCCCCAATCCATCTGCATGAGCAGGCTCCCTCTTTCCTTCTCCTCTTCCCTATCTTAGCTGTGCTAGTCTTTCACAACACTTTTTTTTTTTTAATTTTATTTATTTATTTTGAGAGAGAGAGAGAGCATGAGCGGAGGCAGAGGTAGAGTGGGGGAGAGAATCTCAAGCAGACTCCACGCTCTGTGCAGAGCCCAGCATGGGGCTCCATCCCAGGACCCTGAGATCATGACCTGAGCTGAAACCAAGAGTTGGACGCTTAACAGACACACAGTTAAGTGTGGGGCCACCCAAGCGCCCCTTTCACAACACTTTAATTACTGAAATCACTTAATGGCCTCATGACTTGTGCTTTGACCCATAGAAGCAAGTGAAAGTGCTCTGGTGTGACTTCTGAGCCCAGATCACAACAGGTTTTGCGGTTTCCATTCTCACTTTCCAGGAACCCTGAGACAACCGGGTGAGTCCACAGGAAAGAGAAAATTTGACTGTCAGTTACAGTCTGGGCATTAAAACCAAGCATTGGAATTCAATAAGATACTTGAACTTTACATTGGCTTCAAGGCCCAAAGAATCCTGATTTACAACTACCTATAAACAGAAAAGAAAGCACCTAGTACCTATGCATTTTTTTAAGTTGTTTCTGAAATTCACTTTTCAACATTTCTTCTTCCTTACCTAGCAAATCATCCCACACAGAGTCAGAAACCTGGAGGCCCCCCTCACGGCTCCCTGACCCTCACTTCCCCATACCTCACCATCAGGTCATAGTGATTATAGCTCAGGAAAGTCTCTGGAATCTTCCCCTGCTTCCAGAGTTCTAGAGCCTTTGTTCAGGGCCTCATCCTCGTTTGTCTAGATTATTTTGAGAGCCTCCTAACCAGGCTGACTGCTTCCCATCTTGCCCCTTCCAATCCATTCTCCATACCAGTGTCAAGAGTGATCTTTCTAAAACACCAACCTTCTCATACCATTTTCCAGTTTAAGTTCCTCAAAGGTAACACAATGCCTTCAGGACACAACCCAACGTCTTTGACATGTGTGACATCGTAAGCCTAGGAAAAGCGTCCCTTCTCAAGATGCTTTTCTGACACTTGCCATACAATGGTCACCATAAAGATACAAATCTTCGGTGTCCTCCATGGATATGGCGCCCCTGCAGATGGGGTGCAGCTGCGCCCTTCAACCCACACAGCCGAGCCTGGCTGCCAGCTCTCGTCTTTCCCTAATCCTCTCCTCTTCCTGAACTTCTCCCCCCTACCCCTGACAGCCCCAGTGACCTACCTGCCATCCCACTCCTGTCCCCATGCCTTCTCTCAGCTGTCCCTCTGCCTGGCTAACTCCGTCACGCCCCACGACTCAGCACCGTCTCCCGCTCTGGGGAAGCTCTCCCACAGCTCCCACCCTCCTCCTTCCTGCCTGCCTCCCTCCCTCCCTTCATTCTGTAAGGACACCCCTCCTGCTGGCTTCCCCAGCTTCGTGCTCTCGCCCAGGCATAGTGTTAGCTCCTGCTGTTTTAACAGTTTACCTGCCTGTGTCTTCCCCAGGAAGGAGCTTCCAGGGAGCAGGGAGTGTGCCTAATACAGAGAAGGCACGTAGGGAACGTTTAATGAATGAAAAACACACTCAATATACTCTTGAATACGTTCAATTCTTTTTAGTAAACACCACTCCTTGAATTCTATTGTATAGGCATCCACACAGAGCCTCCAACAGAGATACCAGGATTTTCCTGTCTGTCTTTAAGCCTTATCTGACACGTCTCTGTGACAACAGCGACTGGCCCACCTGCCAAGCAGATGACATGCCTGGCCCCGGGGAAGGACACAGCCAGGGAAGCATGTCCTAGAGGCTGTGGCCCCCACCTCTGAGTTCCCATGGTGAGCATGTCCTCCAGCCCCAACCACACTGACCTCAAAGCTCTGGCAAAGGCAAGTAGCTAATTATAAAGTGACTGGGGGGGGACTCAAACCCTTTTCATGATATTTGTCAAGAAACCTCCTGGGCACCCATGTCTTCAGGCCCCATGGGCGGCTTTACATAATCATCCCCAGATCGCCTCGATCTCCTAGGTCAAGTTTCTGCAGCTGCTGTTTTGCTGGTCCCCACTGTTTGTTTGAACTTGGAGGCATAAACGTGTGCACGCGCCTAGAGTGTATGTTTTGCATACACTGTCGTTTTCAAAGGGAGCCCTTGAAGATGTGTCCATGATACACTGACTTCCTAGAAATAAATCTTAAGTGGATATAAATGATCCCTTGGACCCAGAAAACCTCAATGATATCCAAGGTCATGAAATATAATGAAAACAACCTGAAAACATTCTGATCTGCAAAACTGCTCTGTTCTTTTGCTTCAAGTCATCCTGTCTGGAACTGAGCATATGGGTTTTCCAGTAATGTGGTTCTTAATCTTGGCTGCACTTTGGAATCTCCTGGTAAAATACATTGCCTGGGTACAGAATCCTAAACCCTGAAATTCTGATATAATCTCACAATCTGTAAAGTATGGTCTGAGAACCAAATCCATCCTGTTTTAGTAAATAAAATTTTACCGGGACACAGCCTAGATCTTTCATGTACATGCTGTCTACGGTCGCTTTCCTGGTACAACAGCAACGTTGAGTATTTGCAACTTCACCTACAAATCCAAAAATTTATCATCTGACCATTTGGGGGAAATGGTTTGTCAACCCCTAAATGGGATTTCCAGTAACGACAGCAGTGGTTCTTAACAAGAGACATACATCAGAATCATCTGGAAAACTTGTTCAAAATACAAGCCTGGACTTCATTCTGGAAAACTAATATGGGGTGCTACAGAGGAATTTCTACTTTGTAAAAGCAAGGGATTCTAAAACACAGCCCTGTTTAAGAACCACTGTACTTGGGGTGCCTGGGTGGCTCAGTCGGTTAAGTATCTGTCTTCAGCTCAGGTCGTGATCTCAGGGTCCTGGGATCGAGCCCCATGTTGGGCTCCATGCTCAGCAGGGAGCCTGCTTCTCCCTCTCCCTCTGCCTGCTTCTCCCCCTGCTTGTGTTTTCTCTCTCTCTCTGTCAAATAAATAAATAACATCTAAAAAAAAAAAAAAAGAACGACTGTACTAGAAAACATGGAAACATGAAACACCAATGGGCCTTAATGAATTAAAATTCTCAGGGGTAGGAGGGTGCTCAGTATTATTAGCCAGTGTTCTGCATCTTCTGATGTTTGAGCTTCTTTTTGTTTTGTTTTTAAGATTTATTTATTTTAGAGAGAGAGAGAGAGCAAGCATGAGTAGGAGGGGCAGAGGGAGAAAGAGAGAGAATCTCAAGCAGACTCCCCGCTGAGCAGGGAGCCCGAGGTGGGGCTTGATCTCAGGACCCTGAGATCACGACATGAGCTGAAACCAAGAGTCAGATCTTCAACCAACTGAGCCACCTAAGGTGCCCCAAGATGTTTGAGCTTCTAATGTTCACTGCTGGGAGTCAGGCCCCAAAGTGTGTGTTTTTAAAATGCAATAACAAAAGACCAAATTGAAGTGATATGTGTGGATTCAAATTCCCAAACAGATCTTACTGCATTCCTTGAAACTTCTTTTCCCTGAGGTGGTGTTCTAAGACTTCCCTTGTATTTTGTAACAGATGTCTGAACATCCCTTCAAATTCAATTAGATTTCTTCCCCCCACCCCCACCCCGGAAAGTCACCGCCAGTCTACTTGGGGAGAAAAAGGAATTGAATAACAAAAGGATTACTGGAAACAGTAAATGGGAGGTCTAAGACATTCTTGTGGAAGAAAACCCAAGATGTGTGGTGTAATCAAGGCTCAAAAGCTGAGTTCCACTCTAGTCAATGAAGAAACATTAAGGAAACATTTGCAGACAGCCACTATGGTCAGGATACCACCCGCTACGGGCAGGGTAGATACTGCGGGAGTTAGAAGCATAGCTGCTCTCCTCAGGGACCAAGTGTCTGGTGAAGGCTTACGACAATAACTCTGCATAACGACACAGAGCACCGTGGTTTGGCCAGAGGAGCTGGCTGTGCGCAGGTGAGCCCTCTGTGCTGCCCCCAAATCCTACGACATTCCCCAAGCCCATTCTCTCCCCCACATCCCAGGATGACTCTTTCATACCTTCTATCTCTTCAACCCCACAGCTTCCTCCCCAACCTCACCTTCTGCCCTGACCTTGATACTTATTTCACAGAGAGAAAAAAGGAACAGCCAGAAGAGAGGGTCCCTAAGTTCCCATCACCGTGTCGGCCTGTCCCTCCCCCAGCCCCGCACTTCGCCTTGTCTTCTGCAGCCTTTCCCGCCTCAACAAATGGCACCTCTTCCTCCTGTTTGCTCCATCCAGGAGCCTCGGAGTCACCGCAGTGGCCTCTCTCTCTCTCATATCCCACTTCTAGGCCAGCCACCCCCTGGCAGGCCTTGTTGGTTCTAGCTTCAGATTATACCCACAATCTGTCCTCTTCGTGTCGCCTCCACTGACACCTCGTGGGTCTGAGCCACCATCACCTCTCCCTCACAGGTGATCGCAATAGCTTTCCAGGGCATCTCCCTGCTTCCTCTTTTCTCCTCCTACGGCTGGTTTTCAACACAGTAGCCACAGAGTTTCGTATGCAACATCATTTCTCTGGGCAAACGGTCCTTGGCTCCTCTCTCATTGAGAATAGAAGGTTATGTCTTTGCAGCGGCTGACAGGGCCCTGCCATCTGGTCCCCGGCACTTCCCTTTACCTCTCTTGCCTGTGCTCACTCCGCTTTCACAGCCCAGTCTCCCGTTTGTTCAGTGAACACCCCAGCATGCGTCCCGAAGACTTCACACTGGCTCTTTCCTGGCTCTGGATGCTTGTCCCCAGACAGCTGCAGAGCTCACCCCTCACGCCCTCAGGTCCTTGCTTATCTCCTCAATGAGGTCCCCCCTGACGACCCTATTGAAATCTGCAAACCTCACATTCCCCCCCTCTCTCCCAGACTTACATTCTGCACAGCACTCATGACCCAGGCTGCCGGCAGCACATCCCTTGAGCTGCTATATTGTTGCAGAAGAAATGGAAGTCTTCTGTGGAAAAGAGCTCTCTAGAGACCATCTTCTTGTCTGGTCCCAAGTGCCCCTTCTCTGCCCACCCACACCCTGGACACACCAGGAGGAGGGGCAGGTGTGCTCACACACCCCTGGTACTCACTCCCTTCCCCCGTCATGTGACCGTCAGGCTATTGGCGCCCCGGAGGGGGTGAGAAGCAAGCTCAGTGGGTGAGGTCAACATGGTCCAGATGGGGCACAGTCATGGGCTGTGCGCGTGTGCTCTGCCCGGATGTTGGAGCAGTGTGCCTTCCTGAGTGCGTGTGTCCCTGCGTGTGCTATTGTGGGCTTACCTAGAACACCGCCCCCAGCTCCAGAATCAAACCTCAAGACCTAGAATATTCCTCGTATGGGTTAGTTTATATCTACGATGTGAAAGGCTCCCCCGCCCCTTAAAAGTAGCACCCTCGTGCAGGACACAACCCTGCATATCATAATCTAACATATTAGAGATTTCATTTTTTAGTGGTTTGTATATTATTTTTGTTATTGTATGAGTCCCTCCACTGGAATATAAGCTATAGGAGAGCGGGGGACTTTTCTCTGTTCTGTTCGCTGACAAGTCCCCAGCAGCCAGAATGGTGCTGGACACGTACCAGGTGATCCTAAAACACGTGCAGAATGAGTGATGAGGCACGTGTAGCACCCACACCCTCTCAGCACTCACCTCTCTACCCCAAAGGCTGCTCCCTGCACACCTCTGCCCGGGGGAACCTGTCTGGCTGCAGGAGCTCCTCAGCCTCCCAGCGCACCAAGCCCCAGAAGCAGCCCTCCATCAGTGGCAGGTAACTGAAGTTACCCCGTCAGCTGGGATAATGCCAAGCAAGTTCTACATTGTCTCCTAGAGTTGCCTAGAGGGATGGAGCTCCAGGTGCTATGAGGACCTTGCTTGCTAATGCCTCTTCATACCGGATCCCTTCACTCCCTGACTCACCCCCTTACTGATGTCTCCTGGGATCACCTCCAGAATCGACTGCTTGGGCTCAAATCCTTTCTCAGGGTCTCTGTACATAGACCCCAAACAAGACAGTAGGCAACTGACTGCCACTGGAAGTTTCTGAGCAAGCAAGTGACATACACTTCAAACTCTGTTTAGTCTCCTTAATCAGGGAGCATCATGCAAAAGACAGACTGGCATAGAGAACGATACCTGCAAGGCACCCGCCAGGCTCCACTAAGGAACACTTGAACTTGGGCATAGTAGCAGGCATAGGAAGTAGAAAAATTAATATGGAGCACATTTCCATTGAAGTTAAACCAAAAGAGAGGGTACTTGCCTTTTATATCTCCAGCTACTGGATCTTCTGGACTCGGAGTAGAAATAGGGAAAATGGGAATTCCTAGAAAAATCGTTTTTAAAAAAATACAGAGAAAGATTAAAGAGACGGTAAAGTAAAATATTAAATCACATGAACTAGAAAGAAGCCGTTCTAACTTCGTGAAAAGTAGCATGGGGAGCCTAATTTAGAGAAAGACAATACTGCTATATTGAACATGCAACTGAAACCAGAGTGGTCAGACATTCTGATTTGTCTGTTAAACGAACAGAAATGGATATTTTGTGCTCACAATAGCTATGTCTCAGGCTAAGCAGGGACAAGCTTGGTTTCTTTAGCATCTTTATTGGTTTTTTTAATGTAAAATTGAGAACAGTTTTTTAAAATTTTTTTTCAAGTTTTTTTTTTCCCCATAAAATTTGGTTTATGCCATAAAATTGTTTCAGGTTTCTTTTTGTCACTAAAAAAGCAAGTGCAGTTTCTGCTTAGCCTGTAACTAATAGTTACAGAGTCTAAGTGGATTGAGCTTCAATTCAGTGTTAACTGAATACTGCTGCTTAAAAAATTAGTTTCTTTAAATATAAGATGATCATGTAATTCAACCTCCAAACTAAGCTACTGGATGGTGAAAGTGGGAGCTAGTTTAATGATTCCCCTGGGACAGCAGGTGTGAGCCAGGACATAAAATCACCCCATTCACATGTGTCCTGCCCCCATGTCCCTACAACACACGACGCTTTCCCTGCCCCACAAAGCTGGGAATGCAAGAACCAATTCAGCAAGGGGGAGGAGGGGGTTGAGACAGTGTTTCTTTGTCCTAACACGAAAGTGCAGTTTTTACACTTTAGCGGAACAAACAGAACCATGGCTCTTGTTACAATTTGCAGGGCTGATTTCAGACTCTCCTGTTTCATGTTCTGTGGTGCTTCTACCAGATACCTATTTTCTCTCTCCGAGATGCTGAGACATTCCCTCCGATCACTGCAGTAGGGGAGGTGGGGGCCCATGGTAACCTGGCCGATGGCACAGTGGGCAAGGGGCAACACATCCCCCAGACACCCAAAACACTGACACACACTATGTGTGTGCACACGGACATCTGGCACCCTTGACACTTCTTCCAAGTTCTTTTGTGAAGAGAAATCACACACACGGATCACTGTTCTCTGACCTCCTGGGATGGCAGTCTCTATGGTACAACCTAGCCTAATCATCGGGCACAAACAAGACTATAAAATGTAGTCATATAAATGTTACGCTCTGAACTTCTGCAAACCCTTTCATGGGAATACAGCCTATGTGGCCCCGTGTCTGTGGCGCCTCCACCCTGCCCGCCGTGCCCTCGGGTGTGAATGCACCGGCTACGTCCAGGACGGACGCCTCTCCACCTGCCGGCGCTACTTACGCACGCAAAAGGGGAAGTGATGGTATCCAACTGCACACTTCTCACAGTCGTCTCCGCGGAAATTCGGCTTGCAGGTGCAGCGGCCTGAGCCCGGCTCGCAGGCTTCCGCGTGCTCGGGGTTACAGCGACAAGCTAGGAGAGGCGCAGCCGTCAGTGTGCTCAGGAAGGCGGCCCTATCCCCAGCACCTCTCACGCAGTGTGTACGACTTTCCTGTTGGCCCCTGGTTATTCTTGAAAGGGCACAACCTGTTTTCCACTTCATACCTGCTTAATCGTTTGCATCGACCAAACCCCAGGGACCCTCAGAGATAAGCTTTAAAAGGCATCCACACTGAGTTATCGAGAATACCGTTTATTACACTGAGCACTGTCCGGCTCATGCATCGGAAGCAAGGTGTGCACAGACTCCAATCAGAGGGGCTGGGGGGGGGCGGGGGCGGTGCTGCAGCCCCTGGTAGGTCTGTTGGGCACAGCCCCCCGCTCCCCCTCCCCCGGGCCACAAGCCAACTGTGAATGTCCACGTGGTGGTCATCATTACCTAGGTGCGATGTGGTCATGAGTGCAGGATGCGTAGACATTGATATATAACATGTGGACAGCACAGCAAGATTGTGCCCATAACCCAAATGTTAGATTCCAGTGACAGGACTTACTGAAGGCAGTTTTGCAACCAACACAACTGTTAGGTTTGCATTCCAGACAGACATACTTGGGATACAAGAGGCTTGGTAACCCCTCCCTTGGATGCTTCCCCTGACCTAGCAAGTCCTGACCTTGGACAGCAAAAATACTGTCAGAACACAGCGAAGTACATGCCCCGTGAGGAACTGGGAAGCTGGGGAAGCTGTGGGCAGCAAGCATCACCCCAGGCTAGCTTCTTGTGGTGTCCTTTGCTTAACTTGCTTAGGACTGATGCATCCTGTGGATTCTCTATGCTATGTCTGTAACATCTTTACAAGACTGCGAGACCACTTCAGTGATGAAGAAAGAACCTAGAACAGTGATGGAGAGCCGAGAATCACCGAGAACAGTGATTCCGGGGAAGGGATTCATGATGCATTCACCATGTCCTGGTCTCCTTTGCTAAGGCCTGTTCTTCGTGGACCCAAGAAAAGTGATGGACATACCTTGTTGGATGATGTGGGAGCGGGAGGGAAAACAGGAACACTCCTTGAACAAGGATGAATGCCCAACAGAGAGGCAAATCAGAGTTCACACATTCTTTGGGCTTTGGTGCCCTCCAATGTTAATGATATGATGAGTGAATCTGGGGGGACAGTGGGCACAACGGCCAACTTCAGGCCTGAACTGTTTCCAACAGTGACAGCCAGAGGGCATAAAACACATAGTCTGACCTGTAACTGATAATTCCCCAGGGAAAACCCGGTGGCATTCTGCTCTATCATGGATGCGGTATGGCACAGAGCCATCAGACAGACAGGACCTGGATCCTGGAGCTACCAGTTAGTGGTTTTGGCAGCTGGGCCAACATAGTGAACTACTCAGAGCCTTTGGTTTCCCCATATCTAAAAATGAAAATAATAATACAGTGTCCTAAGTTGGCTGTGATAATCACACATCGGTGAAATTACTTCACAATGCCTTGCATATAGCAAGTGCCCAATAAATCACAACTGTTTTAGATATCATGACCATTATTAAATCCTTGTGAATCCTTGTGAAATCATTACTATGTTGTCCGGATGCTAATGCAGACAAAAATTTGAAATTATTGGAGATCATAGAAACATGTCAAAACGACAGAAAACAGAGGAACTATCATTTGTTAGATGGCTGGTGTGTGACAAGCCCAAAGCTTAGTGTTCCCCAGTTGCTTCTGACAGCATGTCATTACATCTTAGGGGATATGCAGGCACACCTCGTTTTATTTTCTTCATTGTGCTTTGCAGATATTACGGGTTTTTTTTATGAATTGAAGGTTGGTGGCATCCCTGCGTCGAGCAAGCCTATCAGCACACTTTTTCCAACAGCATTTGCTCACTTTGTGTCCCTGTCACATTTTGATAATTCTCACACTATTTCAAACTTTTTCACTATCACATTTGGAGCAGAATCAACAATGTGAAGAAAGAGGGAAGGAAGGAAACGACTAGCCCATCAGAGTTTAGCCCAATGAGCGCCCTGAAACACTATAGTATAGACAGTCCAAGACACCCCAAGTCAAAAATGAAACTTACGGATGCAGCCGTGAGGGGCATCAACTGGAACACCATAAGGGCGGTAGAAACCGTTAGCACAGTTTTCACAGTTTATACCAGCTGTGTTATGCTAGAAAGAAATGAAAGAAACTTAGAAAGAAGAGTCCTGGAAAAGTCCATACTTTGTGCTATTCATCCAGCGAAACCATTTCAAAGTCAAAAAACTAAGCGTTGACCTTGAGTCTCCAAGATTTACCACAGGGCACTGGCTTACAGGTGGCTCTGGATTTTTTTTTCCCCATTGAAAGAGGAAATGAGGGTCAGTTCCATGAACTAGACAGCCCGGGTTTTCCCCTCTACCCCAGAATCTGCTCCATGAAGCACCTGACATTTCAGTGAGAAAAAATTCAAGAGCACTATGCTTCCTAGTTTCAATCAGAAGGAGTGAGTGGATAACAAATCATCCTTAGGTTTAACCCAGGGAATAAAGGGCCATGTGTGTATTTTTATCCTCCCCGATTTTGGAAGAGATCGCACACAAAGATTTTATTTGTGCTTTAGTCCTGAAACCATTCCCAACACTTCTGTTACGTGAATGGGAAATGTAGGTGCGAGTCTCATGTGCAGAGCTCATTTTAAAGTACAATACTAGGCAGGTTTTTTTATTTCATGGTTAATCCTTGTAATTGTCACAAATCAAATTGCCTGACGTGCATCATCAGTTTCCAAGAACTGCACACCATGGACCTAACTCAAGTCTGCCTCTTTTGCTCTTAAACTGGGAAACAATTAGAAGGCCAGTGTTCTCTCAATGCAAAGGAAGGCAATAGGAAGTTAAAAGGAAAACACAAATATAACACACTTTGATCCAAAAGGAGTCTGCATAGAATCAGAGTGGAGAACAAAGACCCTTTTCTGAATCCTCTCCCCCATTTTAGATGGTTTTATTAATTACAGATTTTTATTTATTACCACTCCTTGTCCTGTGGGCTAAAATCTGAATTCACTTTAACATTGAGGTCTAAAACCGCACTGGCCACTTCTCTGACTTAACATTCGCATGCATAAACATTTGGGCAAATAAGGAACAGCTGCAGTCCACCTCTCTTCGATCAAGTGCCAATTAACCTCTCAACTCTATTGCTTGCCACTGTGACTCATAATAGACAGGACATCAGGTTGACCTTGGCTCCCAATTTTTCCCCATTGAAGAAGGAAAATTTTTCTGAAGTGGGCGGCCCCACCTCTCCCTTCTACCACAAATTTTGGTTAATAAAGCACCTGCCACCGAGAACTTATATTTTTAAGACGCAAAGAACAGCAACAAGTGACCAACAGAGAGCCACAAATCACTGCGGATGGGATAGTGCCTGTAGTTTGCCTCCAAATCTTGAGTATTCTCTAGGACCCTCACCTTCCCCTGAGGGCAACGACATACCACTTTACCCATGGATACTATTGCCATGGCTGGACCAAGGCCAGATGGAGCCCGAGGACAGTGGTGGCTCCGTATTTCTATATAGGGGCTGCTGGAGAAGCAACCTCACTGGGAGGAACAGGTACCTGAATTTGCATTTGCCTGACACTTCACACAAGATGAGAAAACCTCAAACCAAGGAGTGAGGTGGGCGCTGATGGAATCTATGCAGGAAATAAGCCTACCCCCACCCCACTTACCCCTTCCTTTGGTACCACCTAGAGAGGCTTTCTACAGAAGGCTCACCTAAAAACCCCAGGCTCTGATCACTGACAACTTAATTCCTCCAAGCATAACTTTTCCAAGATGCTTTTCCATCTCTCCCTTTTCCTCTCAATTCCTTGACCACATCTACAACACCGTTGCTGGCTTCCATTTCTGTGAACCTCAAGCACATGGAGACTATTAGGCTACTCATTGGCCACACTCTCCCAGGAAGCCCCCTACCTGATTTTTCTTCCAAAGGCCAACATGATCTGGCCTCTGTGACCTCTCCAAACTGTCTATCCCTGCTCTCGCCTCTCCAGCCACTTGGCCCCCTTTCTCCTGCCATCCCCTCTGCCTGGAATGCCCTCCCCCACCCAGACGCCTGACTCATTCTCTGGCTTCTTTTGGGTCTTTACTCCAATACCACATCCTAGGGAACTGGTCACCCTAATTTAAACTTCACATACCCCAAAACCAATACTTAAAATAGTAAACTCAAGAAATAAAAATAAAATCAATAACATATGAGAATGTGGCCATCTTTGACAACTGCTTGCCCTGCAGGATAATGACCTGGCTCTCTTACGGGCTCTCTGATTGGCCACCTGAGCATCTCCAGGCACAGCCTAGAGCTGCTGGTGGATATTTCTCATTCTGCCATTACCGGCACTCCTTAGAAAAGGTGGGAGACGGCCAGGTTAGCTGGTACCATGGACTGAATGATGGTGTCCCCCCTCCCCAAAATGCATATGCTGAAGCCAATCTCCAATATGATGGTATTTGAAGATGAAGCCTTTGGGAGATAATCAGATCACGAGGGTGGAGCCCTGATGATGGGACTGGTGCCCTTAAAAGAAGAGAGATGATCTCTCTCCACCACGTGAGGATACAATGAGAAGGCAGTCATTTGCAAACCAGAAAGTGGGCTCTTACCAGATACTGGATCTGCCAGCACCTTGATCTTAGACTTCCCAGCCTCCAAAACTGTGAGAGGTAACTGTTTACTGTTTAAGCCACTATGCTATGGTACCTCTGGGATAGCAGCCTGAACAGCTGGGTTTCTGATGGGCATACCTTGCCATAGGGCATGTGTCTTCTACCAGCACATTCAAACTTCATCTTGAAGCATCACCTTGCAGCTCACCAAGCCAACTGACTCTGCTACGGCAGCAACCCCCTCTTCCCTTCCTAGTTAAGACTCCCCATATCCCTCTATATATGACATAGGATAGGTTACATTTTTTTCCTCAAATGAAGAGCCAATTGTCCCAACATCATTTATGTAACATCCTCTTTCTCTTCCACTAGAAACGCCCATTTTACTGTAAACCAAATTTAAACATCTACATGAATGTGTTTCTAGATTCTCTATTAGAGAACGTTTTGCTATCTTGGGAGATAAATTTCCCTCATAACTCTTCGTCTTTTGTCTATCCTCTCATATTCTTTTATTGATAAGAACTTTAGAATCACTCTGTCAATTTTCATTAAAAAAATCCTATAGGAATTCTGATAACAATTGCACTTAATTTATAGGTTGGTTTTGAAGAAATGGTATATTTATATATTGAGTCTGGAAACACATGATGCCTCTCCGTATAGGTCTTCTTTTATAAACTCCAATAAGGTTTCATAGATTTGGATGCAGCCCCACAGTTAATTCTTCTGTTGTTTCTTGGAGTACTTCCAAACCATTCCATCTGTTTGTAGCTATGTTCTCCTGCATGGATGTGTTTCTATTTTGTATCTTTCTGGAATCTCCTGAAATTCCTGGTCTGTTGGTGACACTTTTTCTTACTTTTCATGCTATTGTAGATTCCGGAAGGAGAGGCTATTTTGCTTGTTTACCATCTCTTCTGTCATATTGTGGGGATTTGGTTCAGGAGGGAATGTGGCTGCATGTGCAGTTCTTGGTGCCATCTCTTAGCTTTATGAGGTATACGTATGTGGAGGAGACAATTTGGAAATAGGACAACCAACACATCAAGAACAACAGCTAGGGAGTAAGCTCAAGACTCAGATCATAATTTGGGGGGAATTGATATCTTTTTTTTTTTTTTAAAGATTTTATTTATTTGAGAGAGAGAGAGAGCACATGAGAGGGGGGAGGGTCAGAGGGAGAAGCAGACTCCCTGCTGAGCAGGGAGCCCGATGCGGGACTCGATCCTGGGACTCCAGGATCATGACCTGAGCCGAAGGCAGTTGCTTAACCAACTGAGCCACCCAGGCGCCCCGGGGAGAATTGATATCTTAATATCGAGAATATGTTACAACTTTCCATTTATTTAAGTTTTTCTAAATTTCTCTCAGCAGTGTTTTTTTAGCTTTAGTATAAAAGTCTTGCCTGCCTTTTGTTAAATATATTCCTAAGCATTTTATGCTGTTGACATGATTTTATTTTTTTTTAAGATTTTATTTATTTATTTGACACAGAGAGAGAGAGAGAGCACAAGCAAGGGGAACGGGCAGGCAGAGAGAGAGGGAGAAGCAGACTTCCCGCTGAGCAGGGAGCCCGATGTGGGGCTCATGACCTGAGCCAAAGGCAGACGCTTAACCAACTGAGCCACCCAGGCGCCCCTGACATGATTTTAAATTGTGTTTTTATTCCATTTTCCTATTGATTGCTGCTAGAATATAAAAATACAATTAATTCTTATATATCATCCTGTATCCCACAACCTTACTAAATTCACTTATTAGTTCTAGTAGTTATTTTTGTACATTGTCTAAGATTTTTTACATAAATAGTTATGTCATCTGCAAATACAGGCAGTACTATTTTTTCTTTCCAATAGTAATGCCTTTTATTTCTTTTTGATTAAGGCATGCAATGGTTAGGACCTCCAGGGCACTGTTTAATAGAATTGGTGAAAAGCAAGCATCCTTACCTTATTCCTAATCTTTAGAAGGAAATAGTTTACTATTTTACGACTAATATTTTGTTAGTTGCATGTTTTTCATAAATGCCATTTATCAGATTGCACAGTTTCACTTCTATTTCTAGTTTGCTAAGAGCTTTTATTGTAAAATGGGAATTGGTTTTGTCTGATGGTATTTCACATTATCCTTCTCTTTTATTCTGTTAATATGATTAATTATGCAGATTGATTTTTTAATTTATTAAGTTTTTATTTTATTTCCAGTATAGTTAACATATAATGTTATATTAGTTTCAGGTGTACAACATAGTGATTCAGCGATTCCGTACATCACCCAGTGCTCATCACAACGTGTGCCCTCCTTAATCCCCATCCCCTATTGTACCCATCTCCCCACTCACGTCACTTCTGGTAACTATCAGTTTGTTCTCTATAGTTAAGAGTCTGTTTCCTGGTTTGTCTCTCTCTCTTTTCTTCTTCTTTACTCATTTGTTTTGTTTCTTAAATTCCACGAGTGAAATCATATGATACTTGTCTTTCTCTGACTGACTTATTTCGCTTAGCTTA